CACAACACGACGAGTAAGCCATGAATCTCGGAATGAACTTGCGCAAGAAGAGAATAATATCGTATTTATAAAGTGGCGCAAATAGATCAATCTTGAAAGCTCTGAAACATCTGTCTTTGGAAGAATTAGTAAGAAAGTAGTGATCAACAGTTGGGTCGATTCACCGTTTGCCTTATTTTGAACTGAAAGCACAAATCGCGTTCTGCACAATTTCAACTTTGACGTGAGAATTTTACTGATTAAAGAACTGACGTGGAAAGATTGTGAAGATGCACGGGAAAATAGCAAAGAGCAAATAAAATTACAACCATCCAAAGCATTTTAGTTGCTTTTTTCCTGAAAATTGTTAATGCTTTTGGTACTAAATCGAATACCCTGAAAACTGCTCCAATTCTCAATGTAATATTTAATTTACGAATTAATCACTCAGTTTAATCGAGTCTCGACGTCTATTTCGATACATTTTGAGCAATATTTCTATCAACAGTTACTCCTTATTTATTCCAACTTTTGTTGCGATTGTATTTGTGTCTGTAACTGAACTTTTTCGATACACTCTCAGATTTGTAGTGGAGAATCATTCAAGTGTGATGAATTCATTATGGTCTGTGAAAAATCACGTGAATATTTTCTCTAAGTCAAACTACTTTCAAAATGATTAAAAGTGATTCTGTCTGATTTTGCAAAATACGAAATATTCTGCTTTGATCTTCAAAATGATTTAAAATGATTCTGTCTGATAGAAATACGCAATATTCTGGTTTGATTTCTGTTTTGTAATGCTTGAGAATTCTGTTGATTACTTGTCACTTCATTACAGTTATTATTGCGACAATTTTCATTGTCTTACGCTCTTTCGGTCGTTATTAAATAATTATTTGGTTCTCAAAAATTTTAGTATATTATTACAATATCTTAAATATTCTAAATATCAGACAAACTATGAAATGAAAAAGACATGAAAATTCGCACTAGTTTTCAGATCATTGTAATTATTGTAGTTACCGACTTTTGTATTTTCGTCAAATATATATATATATATATATATATATGATTCTGTCTAGTGCAAAATATTTTGCTCTCTATATATAGAGAGAGATGAAATAATTAAATATATATAAGTTGAATTACCGAAATTTGAGTTTAAGGTAATTGTCTACGATAGACTGTACCTGGTCTTGCAAGAAAAAATACATTACTTCATTATTTCTTCGCTATTTCTGGTTTCTTTTTTCTACCTTTATCTGTTACAACAATATCATGAAGCGACGATGGAAGTGAATGGCGGAGACATCAGTTCGATCAGTTGCAACAACAAAAGTAATAGTATCGACAGCCAAAGACCCCAGAACGGTGGTAATGGCAGTGCTACAGAACATTCTAGCAATTAATCAGAACATTCCACATCAGAGGCGACTTGCAAGTATCGAAAAGTAAATAGCGATGATGCCAATGCAATCCCTTGCTGCAGTACTTCTGCATGAACGAAGACGAGACAAGAGAAGAAGGCAAAGACGAATGACACGCACGGGACGAATAGAAAGGAAGAAAAGTTTGTTGCAAAAAGAGTACGAAACCTAAACAAAGGATGCTGTGTTTTCTTCCAGTCAAGATATCAGAGATCTGAGAAAAAATGGAGGATGAACGGAGAAAAACCGTACTAGAATCATGGTAGAAAACAATAGAAAACAATGGGAAAACAGATGAGGTTGTAAAAGCTCCATGAAGAATGTAAGAGGGCACTTTGCCAGCTATCGGGATTAGGAACCAGGAACCAGTAGGATAATTACGCTTGAAGTTATCAAGGAATCGAGGTTCCGCAAACCAGCTAGCTAGATGAAGTATTGAAGGCGGTTCTTGACCGTTTCGAGAGGATGCCGAGAAGGGATGGCCCTTGTGTTGTTCCCTGTAATGCGAAAAGTTTGTGTGTGCGATTAGTCTTCAAAAACTGAAGAAACAAGCAAACGCCGCAATCACCAGTATTTGCAGGTCGTCCGTGCTCACAGAAGCGACAACGAAGCGTGTCAAAATACTTGATACCTACCTTGAGGAAAAAACGCTACATGAGACTAAGGTTCATCTTGATGTAAAGCAGAAGTACCTTGTACTGATGCAAGAAGTCCTTGAGATAGACCAGACAACGTGAACGCAGAAAAAAATTCCGCAGAAATTTGACCTGCTTATACTTGGAGTGGTAAACCAAGCGGCGGGTGAATATACCACACAGAATCTCCCCATGTCCATTACTGATCTTGCAAGGCAGCTCCAGGTGGCACGAAATGCTATGGAGGCATCACAAGCCTAGAGAAGCCATCGAGATGGAAGGCAAGCATAGAAAAGAAGATAAGTTTGAATAACTTCCATAAAACCCTCATAAAGTGTTATTTGGCCGGTGAAACACATGAAGGTAAAAATGTAGGGGAAGCCAAATAAATATGTATTCAATTAGAAGCTTTGATATTGAAATTTTTTTTTGCTTATATTTCAAAAATGAGTTTGTTCAAATTGAAATGATTGCTATTTTTCAAGCTACACAAATATGTAGTTATAGAATAGACTTCAGCGACTAATACATCAGAATAATATATTCTAAGGTATTTGCATGTGAATATCCTTTCTGAAATATTGTTATTACAAAAAATTTGCATACCTCGTTGTGGTTTGGCGTACACCTGCTGGTAAAATATTTTTTGATAAAATAATAGCCATGTGTATGCACAAAGCAGTGATTAAAAGTAAAGGCAAAAAATACAGTGCGACAGTTTGTATGAGCTGATAATATCGCTGTACATCATCAGACCAACTCTCTTTACAAGTTGTCCCCCACTACAAAAGGACTCCATTTCTCAAATTTGTAATCATTTTGCTTTGTCATAATAAATAAATGCTTAAAAAATATTTTATAAAAAAATTAAGAATAAAATTGCAAAATTATTCTAAGGTGTAGGGAGATTTTTTGCTAAATATGCAAAGACATTATACTTCCAAAAGTTTTAAAAAAGTATATTAGCATGAAGTGTAGAGATATGTTGAGGACACTGAAATCGTACTTTTCAAGTTAATTGAAACTATTGTAATTGTATTTTTTGAGGTCTTTTGCCAATAACTTTTTCAAATTTTCATTTTTAAAAAGCAATTTTTTTTTGGCTCTTGTAATCTCGTTAAAAAATGATAACTGCTTACTGTAGTGGTAAAATTGGGTCGATTAAAGACAGCTGGATAAGTCTTGATAGTTAATGGTTCGGGAATTGATAACACAATTGCGATAATCCATATCAGAGTAATTGTACTTTCGGTTCGCCACAATTTCTGCTTGAGTGGTGTTGCAATTGCATGCCAACGTTCAAGTGAAATACATACAAGTGTTAAAATATTTACATATACACTCGTATTCTGTATAATATGCAAATTATTTAATTAAGCTTCAACCAGTAGTAGTAATACAAAAAATTTTTTAATTTCATATTTAAAAAATTGTAATTTTAAGAGAAAGAAAAGTCTTTAAAAAATTATCAAAAGTGAAGCAAAAATAATAAAATTAGAAAACAAAATTTGAGATAAAAATAAGCCAACGAATTTTTTAAGCTTAAATAATAAAAATTTGATTTTAATTAACCTGGAAAAATACAATACTTTTGCAAACAGCTGAATTGAACCAGAAAGTTTTTGTGATATCATTGATAACTGTAGGTGGCAAGCAAACTAATAATACAAGAAGATCAGATAGAGCCAAATTGGCTAAGAAAAAATTCATTGATGTCCACTGAAATTACTAAATGACTAGTATTTATTTGGTATTTTTAAGTCATTAGTTTAAAATATTTTTCAAATAAATCCATCTTTTTTCATGCTAAAGTTTATTTTTAACCATTTTGAAAGCAGTCATTTTTTAGCTTCTTTTCACTGTTTGTTATCAAATTTTCATCATTTTTACTTTTAAAATAAAATATTTAAATATTTTTAAATTTGCAATATTCAAAAATTTACGAATTCCTGTCTGAAAAGTCTGTAAGCTTTTTTTCAGTCTTAAATGTGAAATATTTTCTGTAAAAGTTGTTAACTGTGTAGATATTTAATTTTAGTGCTTATTGAAGCACAAACATTTTTTATAAAAGATTTATTTTCAATCTTTTTTTTTCTATTTTGTCTTCACTGAAAAAATTCCGATTTCATATCTTTGCTGTCGTCCTTCAAAGCATATAAATACTAATTGAAGTCAAAAATACAAAGTTTTTTTTTGGTTTTTATAAACAAAAATTTAGCACTGAATTTATAATTGACTAATTGAATAAAAAATACAATAATTAAAAGTATTTGCAATATTTTTCAAGTTTGCTTCATGACTCATTTTTCAATATTTCAATTTGAAATTATATAAATATATTTCCAATAATTCTGAATCATTTCGGCATATATTTTCAACTTCAATTAAAACACTGTATAATAAATAATGTTTTCTTCTTTATTTGTTATCAAAATTTTGACTTACTGAGCTGCAAAAAGTCATTTTATCGAGTCATGAAACAATGACCAATGACCAACCTATTTCAATGCAAAGTTAATTATATTGCTTACTTATTCATGCAAGTTTATTACTTGTTTTTCGTTTGGTTTACGTATCTAATAACAGAAATATGCAGAAATCAAATATTTAAATTGAGTTTCAACAATTTTGTCAATTTAACTTTCTTGGAATGTGTTCTAACAAACATTCTACAAGTATTCTTTGAAATAAGAATTTTTTATAATTAAATAAATAAAACTGCTTTTGCTCTGAGCCCTGCGATGAATTAAGGGCTGATGTTTTGAGTTGAGAAGAATGTTACAAATGACAAAGTTAACAAAACTTTTCTCAAATAGATCCGAATTTTATCTTTAAATTATTTACAAACAGTTAAACTGTGAAGAATCGAAAATAGATTCTGAAGGTTTGAAGGTGAAAAATTAAAATTGGTTTTAAATAATTATGATTTAGGTATATTTGGAACATGTGTGCAATGCCAATGTTTGCATATAAAATTGACTTTTTATCAAAATTACTTTTCGTTATAATAATGCTTGCAAATTACTTTGTATTCAATTGCACTTGATTGTATTTGTGTTCAGTACTATTAAAATGCACAAATTATAAATGATTTTTGATAATCAGTTAAAGACTATAAAAATTTCATGAATGGATTTTTAAACATAACAAATAAAAAAGTGTATCTGTTTTTAATTACTATCAGAACTGAAATACTCACTTCATTTCTGATCTATCTGTTATTAAAAGTATCACTGTGACTTAAGAATAGCAAAATTTTTCTACAATTACAATACAAATGAAAAAAAAACTTGATTAACAAGCAATAAACTGAAAGCACATAAACTCGAACTGATAATTCAGTTTAATTAAAAAATATCATTAACTTTATTTATTACTAATTTGATTAATTTAATTGATATAATCTAATTTATATTTATACAATTGATGTTTATTGCAGTACAAAGTATAAATATAAATTAAATTGACTGTGGTAATAAAGCGGAAACTTACTAATTTCTTGCGACGAATGACGACATACACAACCAATGAATTACCACAAACACCAATAACCATCAATGATAAAAATATAAAAATAGAAAGGATTTCGAAGCTACTTGGTGATAAAAAGTTTGCAATAACATCTTCATATTCTTCATCCGATAAGCTATCGTAATCCAAATCATTATCATTATCATTACCATCATAAACCATTAAGTTATTAGATATCAGACTGAAATATTTCAACTCTTAAAACCGTATTTCATACAATTTCTACAATGATTTTTCTCAAAAAAGCGAAAAATTTTGCATACGAAGAAATATTTAAAAATTTGTCAGGATAAAAAATGCTATTCACCCAATTATAAAGCACACTTTCAAACTAACACGATAAGGCTAAAAGTATAAACAATCATTACTTCAAGATTACCGATGGTATTAAGAATTATGTTCTTTAAAATTATTCTATTAGAATACGATCAGAGCTTTCATCGCAAAATCATAATTCTTCATAAACTCAAGAAATAAACACAGTTTACTGAGAACATCTGTTAATGCTACCAGAACTTTTTTGCTTTTATCAAAATTGCATCCTTTCAGATATAGAAAGAGACTCTCGTGCACAGTGTAATTAAAATAAATATAAAACAAAATAAAATTAAATATTAAACAAGTTTAAAAAGTGCTTGAATAAATGCAATACACAGGACAATAATGTATGTCAATAATAATAATTAATAGTAATAACCATAATAACAATAATAGTATTACTATTATAATTAACAATATCATTATTATTGTGATTGTAATATGCAAAGGAATGCGCAATAAAAGTTTGAGCTATGAAAAATGTTATATGATAGAATATCTAATATATCAGTTTAAATTGCCCCAATTATTTATGATTATGCTAACTTACGTGCAGTGACGCTGAGATTATGATAGTAATGAGGAGTCTGCACACATTAACTTGGAAAATAATCATTTTTTAAGCAAAAATATAATGATTGCTTAGTACTAAGATAGTTTTGTCTGCAAATTCATCGCTTAATGAAGAAATGTTAGAGAAATTTGAATTTACTGAAGAGCAATAATTTTTTCTGCATAGAGCACTTCTAGAAATTAGATTAAAGCCAGTGCTACACATTATTTTTTGTTTCATTGCTATACTATTGCTAATATCTTTATAATAATATTATTAACTTTATCGGTATAACTTATCATTATTCATGATATTATTCATGAACTAGATAATATCAATTATCAATACAAAATTATCTTAAAAAGTGTGCAGTAGTGTGCGACTGGTGATGCCTAACGTAAAAAGTACGTGTGAAATGACTTTGAAATGATTCTTATCTCCAACATTCGTTGTCTTCAATTTAAATTCATTATCCTATGCCCATTATGAATCGAATTCGGTTCTTTCATTCAATTTATTACCACTTACCAAGTGATTTAAGGTGATGGATAGCAATAAACTTTTTAGTCTAGTCTACTTTTTCATGTATTATTTTCTACACATAAAAAATTTAAAGAATTCTGTTCGTATATAATTTTCTTTCTCACATTCTAAAATAAACCTTACTTTTTTATATAAACTAAAGGGCTGGGAATAGTGATAAATTAGTACTTTCTTGAAGTTTTTAATAATTTTGAGCTGAATTGGCAAGCAATTTATTGAGTATTTAAATGGTTGCTAATCAAATATGATTTCACTGCAACTGATTATCTCCTCAAAGATATTTATCTACCTGTTTTTGGTGTTAAATACTCTTTCAAAATTTAGTAATCTAACTCAAGTATTGTACTAATTCACTATTATTACAATTATTACTGAGAGTACTTGTGGTTTAATTATAAAGACATATATGATCTTATATAAATTTTATTTAAGCGTCATACAGTATATTTACGTGACAAAATGTGAATAGATACTTTGTTATTACTTTTTTTAAATAAAAAGTTTACCTAACAGTGCTTTCTAATACAGGATTTTTTTAGAAGTTATTGTAATTGGAACAATTTTAGAAGCATTTTAGATTGTTAGAAACATTTTAAAACTTGCATTCTTGATTGATTGATTGAGTAATGGCATAAATTGCAAAATTATGCTAGACTCTGACTCAAGTCTAAACTTATAATCATAAAGAATAATGCAAATTACACAAATTATGGAATTACAATAAGCAAAGTAAATGGAAGTCACGCAAGTGCTATACTTATTTATTACTTATTTAGTTGAAATTTGAATTAACCTAAAAATATATTCCTTCCTATCTATTATTTGTTAGATGAGTTTAGGACTGATTTCAATACAGAATCAAATTTTTTACATCTTTCTTGCTTCATTCTTTTTCTACATATCACGTAATCTTTGTATTTTTCTTGCAGCCATTATTCGAAAATAGCATTAATATTTTTATTATAATAAAATATGAAAAATTCAGTAAAATACAATATTCAAAAAGTTCATAATTATTATTCACAATTACTTAATTTAATTTAGTATAAATTATTGAAATTTCATTTATTTGGCCCATTTTTTATTCGTGAAAATTCACTGATAACAATCTAAGCCATAAATTTGATCTTCTGTAACTCCGCCATCACAAACAGAATAATTACAAAGATCACATTGTTGGCTTTCTGATCTAATTGAAATGCTGACTTAATGGCTTAATGATCATATAATATTGTGATCACACAACGCTTTTACACAATATTTTTTGTACAATAAATGAACAAATTTTGTAGCAAAAAATTAAAATCATAAATGAAATTGATCTTTTCTAATAATTTGATAAATATTCATATTTTAAGAATTATTATACGATTATCATTCTACGGATAAGACTTAAATTGCTACATCTCACTGATATTTTATTGTGAACAAAAGTCAAAAAACGCAATTAACTGAAATGTTAGCAATTGTTTTTAAGCATAAAAATATTTTAAATATCTGTCAAAAGCACTAGAAAACAGTCTATTTCATTAAACGAAAGCATAGGCAGTAATTTTAAATAAGCATAGCAAATTGCCCACACATTTAAGCTGAAGTTAATTTGATATTTTGCGTAAAAGAATCAAACATATAACTTGTTTTCATGTGCAGTAATTATTGCTGTAGTTTAGAAGAAGAATCGTAAGCTTTTCGCATTCACAGCACTTACCAATTTATTATTTCGCATAAAAAATTAATCAAATAACTTATTTCATCGCCTACATTAAATCTAAATTTTGCAAATAAAGAATAACCATTTATAAGAAAGCAGTAAAAAGCTTAACAATTAATTCCTTACTTTCTTGTCTTTAAATTAAAGCATAAATTAAGAATGCATGGGAAATAGAAAAAACAGAAAGAATTTGTTTCAATTTTGACGATACTGTAAATTTTTATCTCAACACCATACTCTATGCATTAAAAAATGTCTAATTTTAGCTATAATTAAATAAAAAAATCGTAAATATTAGTATGAGTACTTTGCAAGAATCCTTGTTTTTCAATTAACACGCAATACTCTTGAACAATTCTTAGCTAACTTGTAACTGAATAAAAACTAACAAATTTGATATTATGCATTCATTTATAAAACCTAATGTGAATCATAAAACCTAACGTGAATTATAAAACCTAACGTGAAATTAAAACCAAACTTATGTACTTTTTCTGACTGTATTTTGATAGATTTGACAAAATCATTAAAAATTCCCCGTAAAATTATTTGCTAATCATATGAATGTGAAGAATATTTTAAGCATAAGCAATTTGTGCATATCTTTCAAAGCTTTTATTTCTTACATTAATGACAAAATTTCAATTTATCATATGCACATTACGCAAAGAGAATCAGAGTGCAACTTAATATTTTTGATTAAGTACTGAAATGAAGCATGAAATTGTTGAAATAATTTTCTCTGCTACATATTATATTAATAAAATAAACAGCTGCTAAAAGCTAATTCTAGAGTAAATATGGAAAATGCTGCGATTAATAAGCGGTCAAAAGTGTTTTTAATATTTAAATTCTGCCTCAAAAGTACATTGGCTGAAGTTTATGCATAATTATTAAATATTTTAATGCTCTGCTTTTTAGCATACAATATGCAAATCAAAATATGGGGAATGCACAAATATTTACAAACTTTGTGCTTTCCCCAAATTTTGATTTGCATATTGTGTGCTTTTTAATAGCATTAAGATGTTTAATAAATAAATTTTAAAAAAATCAAATGTAATTTTGGAACACATCGTGAGTTCTGAATTAATCAAAAATAAATTAAGCTAAAATAAAATAACTCAAAACTGTTCGTAATTATGCAAAAAGACTTTTATTCAAGTTTGAAATTAATATCAAAGATTAGTATTAACTAATAAATGCTTAATTTTAGGAACACTGCTTTTTAAATTCTCAAATTTCTGAAAAGAAAAGTTAAATTAACTCAAATAATTCTTTCCTTAGCATATCTCTTATTTTAATAGTGCGAACTTTGACCTTTTCAAAAACTTTATCTAGTATTTTAGAAATTTCATTAAAGTATGTGATTGTTTACATAAATTAAAAAATTTTATGGAGTTTTCTGTGCATAAATTTTGTGAAATATCTTGAAAAATTGGTAGTTTTTCGAAGTCTTTGCCGTTCGATGATATTTGCTTAGGATATTTGATACCTTTCTTGAATGAAATTACGGATGGAATTGAAGTTAGAAAATTGTGGAAACCTTTTAGATCGAAATTATATTTGTATATATATATTGGTGGGAAGTGCTGGAAATTAAGGTGATAAGAAAATGCAAAAAAAGGATTCAAAGGCATTTTACTGACTATAGAACTTTTTGTAAAGGTCAGAATACTATGTAGTGTACACACTTGTTCTTATCATTTTTTAAAATATAGTTTTTCTCTCTCACGTCAAATTTCACGTGAAGCAATTAGTGTATTTATCTATTGAGCGTTGATAATTATTGTTTCAAACTATATTTTAAAAGATTACCTTGACTGCGAATACAGTAATACATATGTGCATAAGCTAAATCCTTATAGCGATTCGACATAAAAATGCAAAAAATTAATGAAAATTACTGTTAGTATAATTAATAAAAGTTTATTATTGGACTGCTGAGAGAATAGGTAATACTTTTATGTCAACAATAAGTAAATGAATCACATCGAATTTATTTCTCTCTGCAGTCATTAATTTTATTAAAGCTTACCAAAATTATGACTTAATTCTCTCACTTCTGCTTTTTTAATGCATACTTTTATAAATTATCAGTGTCTTTGATTAATTTTTAGCATTTTTAATTTCAGACTGAAAAAGTGAAACCGTCAGATTTCACGTGAAGCAGTTTTTAATGAAAAATTTTTGAACAGAAACTACTAAAAAATTCAACCAAATGCTTTTTTCCTTTTGAAGAAAGATTAGTAATGCCAAGTCATCTATCTTCGTTAACGATAGCAATGAATTCACTAAATTGTAAGTCAATTCTTACTTCCTGACTAATCTTTTTTTCATATATGCGTTTTCATGCATTCGTAATATATGTTAAGTACTTTCAAGTGAATCAATCCAAGACTATCGAAAGTAAGTTTAGCCAAAAATGGAAATTCCATTATAAAATAACAATATCTATCTGCTTGGCTTGAATGAAAAGAATACAATGGCATTCTTCTTGACAAAGCATTATGCTAATTTTGGCTTCAACTTGCACTCTTGACCAGTTCTCTGATCATTTCCAAGTCTGTGCTGATCTATGGCTAATTTTGAATAATATTTGTCGATAAAAACGCACTCAATGAAAGTGCTACTTCTGAAAGTCAACCTTTGTTCACTTTATACAAGTTTTCAAATGTATGAAATGAATGACTGCATGGGAAATTTGTTGAAAAGCAACAAATCAAAGTGTAACTTATTAATATCTTAGAAGCACTGCTAAGAGTCCCTTTCAGTTACTTGCTAGATAAAGCTTGAAAAAGAACAGACTGTAAAAGTTAGAAGTAGAGTTTATCCACTTTTTAAATAGAGAATATTTGTTGCTATTAATGATGTAGAAGAATAGATCAAATTTATTTATTACTTTTTCAAACGTCAAAAAATGCTTATGTGATGTATGCAAGGGCAAAAATATAATGAATATAGTGCAAATCTAGGCACACAAATAATAACTGACTGATTTGCTTCATTTTAATTAGACTTTTAGAATTGTATAAATTTTTCACTTTCTAATAAAAGTAATTATGGAGTATGGGAAGGGTGAAAAGAATGTGAATAAGACAGAATGACTGCACTGCCACCATGAACCTTTTTCAAATTTAAGGGAAACTTTTCACGTAAATGAAAAGTTGAAAGGTCGATGAAATAAAATTCAAATATTCCTTGCATACATTAACTAACTATCAAAAATCACACTTTTTTCATGTATTCAAATCCGTTATAATAAGATGCATACAATCGGATGATAATTTGTTGATAACAATAAAAGTAATGAAAAGATTTAAATTAGAAATTCAGAAATAGAAAAATTAGAAATATCACTGCTTTACAATGACTAAACTTGTATATACTATTCAGATGTTCTAATTATACTATCGGTACAGTTCTACAAAAAGCACATGCTTTTTATACAGTCTTGCAATATTACTATCGTTCATAATTTTGTTTATATGTACAAATTTTCTGGCCATTTCCAAGTTACAAGTAATGATAATATTGAAGAAATGATTGTAATGAATTATTACAAATTTTTCTAAAATTCAACAAAAATATATTACTGTAACAGATGTTTTCACAGATTTCTGGAAGCATTTAAGCATTAAATCCGTTAAATTCTGATAAAAACGCTAAGTTCTTTAAGAAGCTTTAAAACTTGCATTTTATAATCCTGTAGAAATTTCAATTTTCTACATAGGAGATTATATCTATTAAAAATGCAATCCCTTAAAACTTTGCTGCACAAAAAATAAAACGAGCTATTCTAGTATATTATTATTCTGTCAAATAACAAATCGTTAGTACAATGCGATGGTAACATTTAATTACATGCTTAAAAACAAAAAATAGATTAGAACACATGGAAACGTGTCCGAGATATTTTAAATTTGCATTTTATTTTAGGTAGAATGCACTCTATAGAAAGCGCCTACGCAATAACAGAAAATTATTTCTTCAATGTTTTGAGTAATGAATCCTTCAGTGTTTCATCACCATGAATAATATTCACATTTTGCCTTAAAAGGTCATTGACTGAAGTCTATGCACAATTATCAAACAATTTAATGCCATAAAGAAGCACACAACATGCAAATTAAAATTTGGAGGTAAATTTGAATCGACAAATACTTACAGTAGGCTGCTATCAAAGAGAGAACATTTGCATATGTAAAAAAATCATATTACTTTTTATTAGAGAGATTTGTTTAGCAAAATTCCTCGTCTCACAATGAATTCCTCACTCAAATAAACATCATTCACCCAAAGTTGTTGAATGACTTATTCTTTCTGTCCTACGTGTCCCTTCTAAATCTGACTTGAATCCATAAAATACTTCTAGTCTTGTAAAATATTAATAAGCATTTTCAACACCTTCTCCTATACATTTTAATTCACTATTAAACCATTTTCTTAATCAGCCCTTCAATTAGCAATATCTAAAAGCCTCGTCTTCAGTAATTAAAGCTTATGATGCAAGACACACAAAAAAAAATTAAAAGCCCGAAAGTAACATTTCTGCGAAACTCCAATTTTCATAACCAAATATTACAGAAAAATAATAACTCCGTTTCAAACTTCAACATTATACTCTAAGAAAACATTATTCTGAAGTTGAAAAAATTTTGCTAATATCCTGATTTTTTAAATAATTTACTAGCCCACAAATTTTGCAATAAAAAACATATATGGTTTGATAAGTTGCGATACGACATTCAATAATTGTTACAAGTTTTTATACAAAAAAATAATCATTCACAAAATTATGAACTTACTAACATAGAAATAAGAACCTAGCTTACTGTAATAATAGTCATATAGTTTGATATCCAATCCTTGCAATGTCTCTGGCTATAATTAGCTAAGAACTACATTGCATTTATTAAAATGAATCTCTTGCTTACGAATATGGTCATTTTATGCATTTTGCAATTTGATCCACAACACAAGTGTAATCCATGCTCCTATTATTTCGATTCTTCGTTTATTAGGTCTCATTTTATTACTGATTTTCCATATTAGCAAGATCATACTGCTCACGTAAATGTACTAAAAGTTCTTCTATACCAGTGCCTTGCTTTGCGGAAGTAAAAAACACTGAATGTTCGGGAAATAATTGCTTAAGACTGCTCTTGTCAAACTGCAATAATATAACACATATTTCATTTAGCACATATTTTTTAATCTGATAGGAATGAAAATTAAAGTAAAGTTACACATTTGATCGTTGGAAAAATTCAAATTTCTGAAGAAACACAAACACACAAAGAAAACTGAGCGATGTCGTATGTGACTAGCCTATTTTCATTTTAAATATAGGAAAACATGAATGTAAGAAAAAACTTACATCAGATGGCGCCAAATCTATTTTGTTTATAATAATTGTACTCGGACGATAACTCAAACCTTCTTGGTACTGATCTATTTCAAACCTCAATGATTCATATTGCTCCTAAAAACAAACTTGTCACATGTTAAGTACATAAATTATAAAAATGTTAGGCAGGAAACGTGCTTCTGCAAGGATAATAAAGGTAACAAACCAGAAATTGAGAAAGCGTCAAATCCAACACATAAAATAAACATTGACAACGTGTTATATGCCTTAGAAAGCTATGTCCTAACCCACGATCTGCATGTGATCCCTCAATAATACCAGGAATGTCTGCCACTAAAATGACGGCTATCTTTAATTTACTTTGCTTGCAATTTTACAACTGGAAATAAATAATTTATGTTTACAAGTTCTAAATGAAAAAAAACACACACACACACACACCAGCGATTTGGATAAAATCATCATAGTGCACGATGCCGACATGAGCAGTCAGTGTTGTAAAAGGATAACAAGCTACTTTTGGTTTAGCTCTCGAGATTGCGCGCAGTAATGAACTGAAAATACTAATTCACATAAGTAACATATAGAAGACATATAGGTAGTCAAAATTTTAATGATGCGATTGAAAGAAAAAACTAGAAAAGCTAACGATTTTCCAGCGTTCGGATATCCTATTAATCCAGCAGTAGCAATTATACGCATTTCTACATCATATGTTAGCTGAAATGATAATATATAAATTATGTTAAATTACGATAGTTTAAAAAAAGGAATGGTATTTTATTTTTGTAAACCTTGAAGGTTTATAATACTTATGCAAACAAACTTCTTCTCCAGTTCCACCTAATTCAGCTTTTAATGGTACTCGCACTTCGTTTGACTTGTAAAACTGATTTCCATGTCCGCCAGCACCTCCTCTAGCAGCTAGAAATATAGATTTTTCCTCATTCAAATCAATTATCACCTGAAAAAAAATCATAACAAACTTCCATATGTACAAAAATTTAGAACAGCAAAACGTTACCTTGTTGGTACCAGGTTCCTTAAATACGGTTCCTATAGGCACTTTGACAAATTTATGTGGAGCATTCTTTCCGCAGCAACTTTTGTTATGACCACTTTCACCGTTCATTGCCTTTATCACTTTTGGTACACCAGAAAGATCTTTAACAACTGGATCTACTAAAAAGGTCTCATTTAAATGACTGGTAATTTTTCTTAAAACTAATTTTGTCGAGGTACTACTAAATTGAATTAAATCTAAATATCAAATGACCTTCAAAAACAACATGGCCACCATTTCCTCCATCTCCGCCATCTGGACCACCAAACAAAACACCAGCTTCACGTCGAAATGAAACCATGCCATCACCACCATTGCCAGCCTTACAGGTTATTCTTCTGTGATCCACAAATGATCTTGCCTAAAAATATTTTTGTTCAAAGGAAAAACTTATAACGCGAAAAAAGCACAAGCAAAAAAAATACTGCAATACTTATGATGATATCAAAATAAAAAATTTACAATCCACAATACCATAAGTTTTTCAATCCTAAATACCGTAAATGAATAATAAAACAAATGCAGGATCTATGCTACAATATGTATTTACACAGTGCCTGACTAATATTTGGAACTACTTTGTCGAAGTTTAAATACCTCGCCTTCACGATAAATCCTTTCTGGCACGATTGGCCTCTTGGTCAATTTTCTTGAAGATGCAGAAGACGAACTCCGAGTCGTAACTAGCCATGACCTCGCAATGAATCTCCTCATTGAACATACCTCCTTACAAATCTTCGCAGTATCTTATTCGCTTCTGCAAAAATCTTTACCATACATGTTTGATCAAGTTATTAGTGGAAGGAATCACTACTTTCTCATGATAGAATGTAATTTACCAGCAAAACTGTGAAATACCCACAACAAAATCACCATATACATCAACCTATCACTTCCACGTTGCAATTCTCCAAAAATTATTTTTACTGTAATACATTGATAATAAAAGACAAAGAAGAAGCTAAATCTATAGCAATTTTATCATAAATTAATTATAAGAATTTTATCAGCGTAATTAGAATATAATGAAAAAGCAAGCGACTTCATACAAAAAAAGTAGGATGAAAGGAGATATCAGAAAATATCTCGTCAGCGATGCTACATAAGTCATGATATTTGTATTTAGAGCGTACATGAAGAGTAATACAGTAATTTGGTTGATTCGCTGATGATGTACCAATTAACGCATAATACTGTGTATTTCCGAGAAGCATTAATAATTAAGAATTCATTTAAGTTTGGATAAGATAGCACGAAATACAATCCTTCATAAAATTCCATCAATAATACAGTCCACCAATATTTCAGGGATAAAATACCAATAAAACCGTATTTTTCAGACAGCTTAACACCAATTTTCTGCTAAGTGAGAGATTGAAAAAATGGACCAAGTTAGTAAATGGACACTAAATGATATAGGAAAATTCTAGGTTCGAAAATATAGATTACAAAAGTGATCTTCGAAGAAAAATTTGACTTGGTTATTCCAAACAAAAAATTCATAATACAACTGCAATGTGATTAGATTAAAACAACTTGATATTATCGTGAAAACTTTTTCAAAAAATGTTAGAGCACAAAACAAGAAGCCCTTTCGAATCAAATTACATTCAAACCAAAAGCACAATTATTTTAATTCTGATTAGACCGTACTATTTTGAGAGATTAACAACCTCCATTATAACTGAGATTTCACATATTTCAGCGAACTCATTTCAAAATACTGCTATGACAATCCTAAATTTTTAAATGCATCATTTTCATAAAAAAGCAATACCTAAGGAACAAAGATTTAATAAATTAATTGCTTTTCCAATTCCTCTTCATTATGATTCTGTAGCAAGCGACAATGGTTGTCTCCAAGCTTAAACTGCTTAAAATGCCGAGTTAAGGCCTTAGCAACACGGGCAGTGCTGTCATTCTGCAAAAACATACAATAAACATATGCTAACGAAATTGAAATATCTGAAATCTGAATTAATAATAACTAGGCTTTCTTTACACTTAAGAAACAATGTGACACAAAGAGCAAGATTCAGTACGAAGAATAAAATTACTTAAAATGTCACTGAATATATAATTTGTTCTGTGGAATCTCCATTATTACAGCGAACAGCAAGTCTGAAAAGTGGTGTATTCGACGGAAATTTTGCACCAGTACTACACATCCCATGCTTTGTTTTTACATTTTCTGTCACAGACGACTGTATTTCTGGATTTTTTTTGCAACCTCCCATGCTTTTCTGTCATCTGTTCCATTGAACGTTGCCTGATTTCTTTGTGCAATCAATTTTTTTTTTCTCCGTCAAGAGGACTCTGAAATGTTTAAAGTATATGCTAAAAACGAAACTTTGTAGAAACATTTATGACCTGTAGAATGAGCATTAAGAAAAACTGAGCTCTTTTCCATCTTTCGAACTAGCAGATCGAAGATGAAGAGCAATATAAAGCAGTTGTGAGTTGCATATTTTTTTTCACCTTTCTAAAAATAAATCAGTATTTCATAATAATAACAAATAAATGAAGTTTCTGAATTTAAATATATGATACACTATTCGTGGGAGAAAAAAGACAATGACAGTTTAGCACTATGAGATAATTTGATGAACTGATTTATAAACTTTCATTTCTGAATAATGTGAAATCTGATAAGGATTCTTTTCAAAAATTATTATACCTTTTTCAATAAAAATACTGTTGTTCCAAACTTCAACAGACCAAACAAACATAAAGTTCGCTATACAGTGTCTAAGTACAATCAATCAAGTGAAATATAACACAAAGAAAAAAGCTAGAATTGATTGAGTGACGAGATGGCGATGTGTCATATTTCTCGGAAACCAACTTCTCATATTCGTCCTTAAATTAAATAGTTTCGACGTGAATACTGCAACCAGAAGGTAACTGAGGTATGCTTAATTAAAACAAAAAGTGAACAGAAAGTTGACAAGAATTAGCAAAATTACGATACTCTACAAATGATGCAGAAAAAAAAACTGCTCTTTTATAAAAACAATCCATACTTTAGGAAAAAAAGCACATGAAAAGAAAAAAAAAATGCATGCTATGTGTTACGAGTAATTAATGCGAGTTCGATAAAATATCTAACGTATCCAACGAACAAACCTATCAAGTTGATTTCTAACAATACTCTTCATGAATTCATGGTTCATGTCTAATCGTGGAGGAATGGAAACTACTTTGATATTAACTTCATCGATATCACTCAAACTCAACGCTGCAAGAGAATTTCTCTCGCTCCAGTCATCATACACGTCTACACCACTAAAGCTGATCTGAAATACACACAACCATTGATAATATACAAAGATAATAACGACACTCCCACAGCTAAACTATCCCACCCGTTTATAAAAACTGAACGAATTCTTTAGCGCGTCAAAGATCATGACAATATCGAAGGTCTAATCACTGGATCATCAGATAGAAGAAATAATCAACCTTGTAATGCCGTCTATTTTTCCGAAAGCAAAGCATCTATTTGTTGAAGACGCCAAAACCACTGTTCGAAGTCTCGCAATGAAAATTTGAAATCCACCGTTTTCCACACATATTTTGAATTATTGAAGCAATCGCAACAAAAGTTGGAATAAGTAAGGAGTAACTGTTGATAGAAAAATTGTGCAAAATGTGTCGAAATAGTAGTCTCTTGCGCAAGTTCATTCCGAGATTCATGGCTTACTCGTCGTGTTGTGTCAATCCCATACTTTACAACTTTATGAGCGGTAATCTTTCTGTTCCTTGGTCATTTCATTCAAAATACTTTAATAAACAAACAAGTTAGGAAAAACAAATTCTGAGTTCTGCACGTCAATGCGAAGTCATTTTCACTATGCTTAAACATGCATCCAAAGCTGAACCATTAGACTTTCCTATTTCTGCTGGGAAGTGTGAATCGTTGAGATAATTTTCAAGAAGGATGCAAATGCTTGAAGTAGTCAAAGTAGACTTTATTATTAGGCAAGTGATGAATACAATCAGTAAGTGAAGAGAAAAATGAGATAACCCGTGGGAATAGTTAAACCATTTCCAGTGATAATAATAATA